TTACAATCCATAACAGTAGCAAAATTACAGTTATGAAGTAGCAACGAAAATAATTTTATGGTTGGGGGTCACCACAGCATGAGGAACTGTATTAAAGGGTCGTGGCATTAGGAAGGTTGAGAACCACTGAATTAGAGAGAATCCTGAACCCACAAGTCCACTGAGGGCCACATGTGCAGAATAGGCTGGGAATTTTATGGAGTTCAAGAAGAAGAGAAATCCATTTTCTTCCATCACTTAATCTATATTCCATGACCTTGACTATCTTATCTGATAAAGCACATACCTCACAAACCTAAAGAGAGGAAAAATAATTAGATGATTATATAGATGGACAAGCATGTCTGGCTCCAAAGCATTACTTGCAGGGTGCTGTGGCTCAAGGAAGGCATAATTAGTTACCACTTTGAATCAGGTTAAGCAAGTCGATCAGCTTTGGGGTAAGGTGGGTGGGGAACACCAGAGCCTGTTTCCTATTTGATCTGCATGATAACTTAGAAAGATGGACCCCTCTGTACCATTACAATAAAGCAGGTTCATGCATAACCTCTAGTTTTTACAGCCATCTTTCGTTGCTATTTATTTTCCCAAGCTATTTATCTTTCCCCTATTCAGAAATAGATCCTTCATTTTTATAGCACTTTCATGAATATTCATTTATCCTTAAATATCTTAGAAAGCATTCCAAAAGTTTAAGTGTCTGATACCAATAGATGCATTTTGGCATCTGCACAGCTGACATATTAGGAATTTTTTTGAAGCATTGAATAATGAATTAGATTTTGTCTCTACTATCACTGAGTTTTCATTTAAGTCCTGTCAGTGACTGCTGACTTGTAAGGCATCATGAGAAAAATAATCCACCTAGCACTGATCTTTCCAGTTGATATTCATGAGCACCTGAAATAATCTGTCAGATGATAGAGCCAGATTCTTAGTGAACCAGCTATCCCATGGGTCTTGTCTTCCCACCAAGCCGGAAAAGGGGTCCTACCCTTGGATGTCTTACATATGACTCCAGCTTGACAAGGGCAGGTGATGATGGTAAGGCTGGTTCCCATGAGAAGTACTGTCATGGTAAAGACCAATAGCCCACAAAAGCTCTGATCATGCTGCTGAGAAAGGAAGCCATTGGCAGCCCAAGGGGAAAACTGATCTGATAGAAATCTCAGAGCATTGATCCCTCATACCTGATAAATTACAGTGTGGGGGTTGTCTCTGTCAGCCAAAGAGGCATTTCATTTCATCATTCAAGTACACATTCTGTGTCAGGTATGGGGGAGTTACTCAATGGGTTTTCATAGTATACAACAGCCCTCACCCAAGATACATTGCTATTAGAGCTGGTGGAGGAAGGGACTACTGTCATTTATCACTGCCCTGCTTGTCGTATTCATTCATTCATTGGCAAGCTTGTTCTGAGAACAATATCAGACACAAAGAAGAATGCTGCTCCCCTCCTTTGTTCCTTCCTTTCTCCTTTCCATCCGTCCTTCCACAGATATGTAAAGAGTATCTACTGTGTCTTATACGCTAGAGTTAAAATGGTGAACTAAGCTTAAGTGATATATTCTAGAACAGGAATTCTTAACCTGGAGTCCATAGACACCCCTTCCCTTGAATCTGTGGTAGGTTGTACTGGGTGCTCTGGGATATAGAATCTCTGCCTGCCAGTCTAATGGAAGAAGTCAGAGCCAACCACACATAAGGAAATACATAACCAAAATTATTTCAGTTAGAGATCAGACCTGAAGAAAATGAATCAGGGTACTGAGATAAAAAGTGAATGCCAGGAGATGCTGTGGGACATCTAGGGGGTCAGGGAGGGTCTCTCTGAGGAAGTGACATTCATGCTGACACCTGGAAGAAGAACATAATAGACAGAAAGGTCAAAGGCCCTGCGATAGAAACAAGTAAACCCCCAGTTCCCTTTAGTCCAAGAATCCAGACCACTTAATTAGTGAATTGTTTCTCTGCTTTTGGAGAAAGAAACAAATCACAGGAGTCAGGAGAGGAAATTGGAGATGGTTTGAGAGTCAACCTGTCACAAGTGGCCTAAGGCAGCAGGGAGGATATGGACTGAGGGCCTTGGTATATGCCATGTGCAGACCCTCTACATGTGGTGTATCTGAAGGTCAGGGGGCACCTCCATATCTTTGCGCCACCCTAAGCCTTTCTTAGACCAGTTCATCATGGTCTGCCTTTCAGACAATAAGTTGCTATAATCAGAAGTCCCTCCTTGTTCCTAGAGAGGATCCACAAAACAATTATCGCCTGAAATCATGGACCCTAGTCCCAACAGCATTGAAATAACCTCTCTACGCTAGGGATAAAAGAATGTCAGCTATTTGCCTCCAAGTCACATCTCAATCTTATCTTCCAAGATCCCTTGGTGGGCATAAGAGTTCTGCTCATCCTGGCTTCTCCCAGTTGAATCCAGGGAAAGTTATTCATTTACTCTGACAGCAGCCTCTAAGACAGTGGTTCTCAACCTTCCTAATGCCGCGACCCTTTAATACAGTTCCTCATGTTGTGGTGACCCCCAACCATAAAATTATTTTCGTTGCTACTTCATAACTGTAATTTTGCTACTGTTATGAATTGTAATGTCAATATCTGATATGCAGGATGTATTTTCATTGTTACAAATTAAACATAATTAAAGCATAGTGATTAATCACCAAAACAATATGTAATTATATGTGTGTTTTCTGATGGTCTTAGGCGACCCCTGTGAAAGGGTCGTTCGACCCCCAAAGGGGTCGCGACCTACAAGTTGAGAACCGCTGCTCTAAGACCTCACTTGTAGCTTATTAAAGTCTACAAAAATCCTACCCAGTGGCTATTAAACAAGCTCATATTTTTAAAAACCAATAATTTCTAGGGCATATCACAAGGTCACTGAATATTCAACCTAACACCCTATAATAAATGTTGGCTAACTTATTGCACAAATGCCATAAAGGGCGCATGCAACCACTTTTATTGAAAAGTAGACCAATTGCTTCTATCAGAATATCTTTCCTGATACTTTTAAATCTTCAGTTGCCTTATTCTTGTTCATAGTATTCCCCACACACATACTTAAAATGTCAGATGAAAATCAGTGAGGGTTTGACATCTTTTATAAACGTTGCTAATCTCCTTCCTGTACAGTTTGTATCTACACTTAATCTGTGGTCAGATGTGAGATGGTAGCTGATGGTCACACAACAGACCTAAGCCACTGTGAAATCATGCATAATTAAAGAAAAAATAAATTTTATCTATTGCACTCCACTTAAAGGAAGACAGGAAAGTGGATTAGTAAATGTTAGAAATATTTTCCAAAATCAATAGTTTAGACAAAAGGACTTTCGGCAAAAAGTTTAGTTATAAGAAAATTCCTAGTGAATATATAGTGAATCATCAGTGTAAAAGTTTTTCCTTCTAAAGTGATATTTAAAAAGAAGCCTGGGGTAGAGGAAAAAGCCTTGGACTTGAAATCAGTTGATATAAGTTCCAGAACTAGCTCTGCCACTAATTGTATCACTCTGAGCAGATTGTATTTTGTACTATTTTGTCTCTCTGGGTCTCTGCTTCCTTATCTGTAAAATTACTGGGTTAGAAGAAATATTTCTAAGACCCTCGTGTAGCTCCAAAGCTCTATAAATCTCTGTCTGTGTGCACTTAGGCAATAGATTCCTAATGGGACTTGATCCCAGCAAATATCTTGACATTTCCAATGTGGTCTATTAGGCGGTGCATGATTACTATGACAATCATACGGAATAATTAGGCAATTGGTGGAGTTTCTTTATTTAGAGATTTACTAAATAAAGAATGCCATGCCCATTATATTTTCTTTCTTTTCTGTGCCATTTGACCTAGCCTCGCTGGGGTGATTTGTATCATTTCAGATGGAACATCTCCTAGGAATGAAGTCCTCCCCACCCTACCCCATAAAAAAAAGTAAGGGAACAAGGGGAGCAACACTTCCCATGTGTATTCCAGGAAGCCTCCCCCATGAGAGCCCCACTGTTCTTCATTAAACTTTTTTAAAAGGATTTCCAGAGCAAAGAAATTTAGAGAGTGCACCATGATTTTTCCTTCATGAAGCTTTACATTGGACATTAAAGAGCCTGAGAAGTCCTGCAGTAAAAATTCCTGCCTATTTTCATTTAAATCAGATTTTCCAAACTCATTTATCTGCAACCCCCTTTTTCATAATATCTGCTACCATCCATGGAACCAGTGCTATGTGGACACGCTTTGGAGTAAAGATCAGAGGCCCAAGGAGACATTTTCACTGGGATGCCCACCTGTAGTGAGCTGAATGGTGACCTCCAAAAGATATTTCCACCTGAACCTCAGAATGTGAACTTACTTGGAATAAGGGTCTTTGCAGAAAAATTAAGTTTAAGATGGTGAAATGAAATCATCCTGGATTAGGGTGGTCTCTAATCCAATGGTGAGTGTCCTTATAAGAGATAGGAAAGGACACACAAAGACACAGGGGCGAAGACCATGTGAAAACAGAGGCTGTAACTGGAGCTATGCCGCCACAGCCAAGACAGCTTGGAGACACCAGAAGCTGGAAGAGGCAAGGAAGGATTCTCTTCTAGAGCCTTCAGAGAGAGCATGGCCCTGTTGACACCGTAATTTCAGACTTTTGGCCTCTGGAATGATTAAAGAATAAATTTCTGTTGTTTTAACCTACCCAGTTTTTGGTAATTTGTTATGGCATTCCTAGGTAACTAATACATCACTCTTACCTTCCTTTGCCACCACCTACTAGCTGAGTCATTGGTACAAATTAATGCCTTTGATTACCATTTTCTTCATCTTCAAAGAGAGAAAAAAATATCTACTCTGAACGTTGCCAGGATATTTTTGATTCTTGAAAGGAAAAATGAACACAAAGGTGCCATTTAACTAAAGAGTTCATGGATAGGAACCTGATACCCCCCCCCCCCTCCCCCCCAATCAGGCTATCAGGCCCAGCTACTAGGGTTGGGCAATCAAGGAGAGACAGGATATGGAATCAGAGAACATTGCTAGTCAGATCTTACAAATGTTCATGTGTTCATTCACCAAAAAATGTTCCAGGGACTGTCATAGGCACTAGGGATACAGAATCACACAAACATATCAAACCCCTGTTCTTGCGGAACTCATATAGTCTTTGAGGGAGTTAAATAATGAACACATAAGTAACCCATTTAATGTGTCAGAAGTTGATGGAAGGTGTCTTGGGTTCTAGTACAGCCTACGGCCCTCACTCTAGTAACCACTGATTTAGCACACCTGATGGTTTCAGCCTCGAAGATGGCCATGGGATAATGTGCTTGATAATAGCAGTGCGGTGATGGAATTGGCACCTCCCATAAACACTTCCCACCTGGAGAAGATCCTGAAAATAAATAATGTAGTGGAACTTGAGCCATTTATCTTTGATAACAAAATAAGCAGCTATCCAAAGCCAGGTGACCCAATAATTCCACTCTTAGGAATATACCCAAGAGATATGAAAACACAGGTCCATGCAGAAATGAGTCATTCAAACAAATATTCATACACAAATGTTCATAGAAGCATTATTCACAATTGCCAAAAGGGGAAAACAACCCCCAAGTATCCACTGAGAGATAAATGGATAAACAAAATATACATCCATACAATGGAATATTATTCAGGCATGAAAATAATTGAGGTACTGATATATTCTATAATATGAATAAACCTCAAAAATATTATGCTAAATGAAAAAAGCCAAATACAGAAGGCCATATATTGTATTCAATTTATATGAAATGTCCAGAATAAGTAAACCCATGAAGACAAAAAGCAGATGGTGGTTGCCAGGACCTGGGGGAAGAAGCAAGTGGGGAGTGACTACTTAATGGGTACAGAGTCTCCTTTTGGGATGAAGAAAATGTTTTGGCCTGTGTGGGCCTTTTATGTTGCTGCTGGTCTGGGGGTGGGAAGGGCAGGAACATGCCAGGGCTCTCACTATAAGTATGGGGTCCACTATTGCTCAAGTTCAAAGCCAGAGCCCTGCCAATGAGGAAATAGGAGACATGTTCTTACCTAGTATGGGATTTGGCAGGCTCACAGCTTGCAGTGGCAGGGTTGTGGCAGGGGTGGAAAATGAAGTATCTATGACACAAAATAGAGAACGAGAGCCTGGCCAGGAGTTGAGGAGCATTCCAGAGAGGGTGATGACATCTCCCTTGTGAAAGCCCAAGTCTTGAACTACCTTCCCTTGTGTGGTGCAAAGGAAAGTTCATGCTAGCCAACACCTCTGCCTTTGTTCTTGCACTGTGATTCCTTTCTGAGATTTTTCCCTCTCCCTTTAGTAAAAAGCTTCACATGCACATTGCAGCACAGCATGTTAGGAATAGTGGGTATCAGCTTCCTATTGCTGCTATAACAAATTACCACAAACTTAATGACAAATAATATAAATTTATTATGTACAATTCTGTAAGATCATCAGATGTATGTCTTGCTGGGCTAACATCAAGGATTTGGCAGGAACTTGTACCTTCTAAAGGCTCCGGGGGAGAATCCATCCCTTGCCTTTTCCAGCTTCTAGAGGCTGCCCATATTCAATGGCTTGTGGTATTTTTTTTTTATCTTTTAAGCCAGTAATCAAATTATTCCAACATCATATCTCCTTCTTTTCCATTATCATATCTACTTCTCTGACTCTCTGTCTCCCTATCCTATCTTTTAAAGGACCCTTGTGATTACATGGTGCCCACTTTGATAATCCATGATAATCTCCCCATTTATAGGTCCTTAAATTATTTACAGCTGCAAAATTCCTTTTGTGATATAAGGTAACATATTTATAGGCTCCAGGAATTAGTACATGGACACCTTTGGGGGACATTATTCTGTCTACCACTCTACCACAGAGTGGCTGGAGAAAGAGACAACTGCTGTACACAATCATGATGACCATCAGCAGAGAGACCCAGACCTGGAGGGTGCAAGAGAAGAACAAAGTGAGAGAGCCCTAACTTTTTTATTATTCCCTAAATTAGCAAAAGCTACTCTATTAAAATAGAAAAGGAGGAGTCCAACAATATGTGATTATAATATGAAGAACTAATGGTATGAAGCATTTACTAGGTGCCAGTTTCTCATATATATATAGTATGTGGTATTATTAAGCCACATTATATAAATGAGGAAAGACAGATTATTATTCAGAGACTAATAGAAATTACCCGAAATCTCACGGCTAATAAGTACCGCAAGTGGCATTTGAATTTAGTTCTATCTGATGTGAGAACTGAGCTCTCAACCTAGTGTTGTATTAGAGTGGGCTAACTGCTGAGCACCGTCATCCAGAAACTTAAGCTGATACTTGGGCTGTTTTTCCCTTTTGGCAATTTAAGTTTGGCAATTCCTTCTAAAGTGATATTTAAGAAGAAGCCTGGGGTAGAAGAAAGAGCCTTGGACTTGAAATCAGTTGATTTATTTCTTGTTTAGGTAGCAGTCCAATGTGGATATTTGTGGGCATCTTTCCCTGGAGTGATTCTGGTCCTAGGCTCCTTCCACATGTGGCTCTGCTATCTGCTAGGCCTCAGGGTCCCTTGCTTCCAGAGGCAGATAGGAAAATAGGGGATGAAGAAAGCATGCCTGTTTTTTAACCACCTCCTTCCAGAAGAGATGTATCGCCTCTGCTCACATTCCATTGGCAAAAGTTGGCCATATGGGCCCATCTTGATGCTGGAGGCGGAGAAATCTGGCTCCTGCCTAGACAACCACTTCCCAGGAACAATGCTACACGCTGAATGGGAAGCATAAATGTGGTAGACAGTTGACCATCTACGCCATGAAAATACTGATACATGAATGAATGAATCAATGAAAGAGAGAAAGAGAAAAGAGGAACGAAAAGAAAAAGAAAGAAACAAGGAAGGAAGGAAGGAAGGAAGGAAGGAAGGAAGGAAGGAAGGAAGGAAGGAAGGAAGGAAGGAAGGAAGGGAGGGAGACGGAAGGAAGGAAAAATCTTGCTTCTCACATTCCTACAAACAAAAATAAAGGATGCTATCTATATAAATGTGTCCACTGGCAGGAGGAGAACTAACTAAATCACCTAAGTAAATAAAAGAGGATCCATGCTTGCTAAGGTCTCTATAGAGTTATCAAATGGCATCAAGACATTCTATCTTTACTGAGAGGACACAGTGTACAGAGACATCCAGTTGTGGTGTGTGTATGTGTGTGTGTGTGTGTGTGTGTGTTTGTGTGTGTGTGTGTGTGTGTAACAAGACCCCCACTGTTTTGCTGAAGACTATATTCCAACCATCTTCAACTCTAGTTGTAGCCAATGTGTTCCAGACAATGAATGTAAAGAGAACTGCAACATGAGACTTCTGACGAAGTGTCCTCAAAGAAAGGGGGCTCCTTTCTTCCCCTTCTTCTCCTTCCTCCAGGTGGAGAGGTTGAAGAGCCATCTTAGATCATGAATAGATTTGGTGGAGGAACAAGCTAAAGAGGGAGCCACAGTCCCTGCTGATCATGAGGTTGCCAAACCAGTCCCAGATTGCTCAAATCCAGATTTGGTTTACATGAGATACACACATTTCTATCATGGTTAAGCCACCACTGTTAACCACTGTTTTCTAACACCTGCAGATGGTTCTGATCCTGACTAATACACAGGACTCTGTTTCCTTTTATCAGAGTATCAAGCAAAACACACCACGCATGACTAAACCACAACTCTGCAAATCAAATGATTTGCCTGGAAACCTCATTTTCATCACTGGCATTTCTGTCTTCCCACCCTCAGTCACCTCAGCTGGTGTCACTGATGGCAAAGCCTGCTGGGCAAGCTTTGCAATGACTTGACAAACAGGAAGTAATCAAGGGCTTTCTCACAGGCCTTGCCCACAAATTGCCTCACTGTCAAGCCAATTTTGCTGCTGAGTGACTCTGGTGGGTTGGGTTAAAGTACAACAGTAGAATTCCTTCCAGACAACTCTCATCTTCTTGGAAACTGCAGCTTCCTATTACCCTTGTCCACCTGTAAGGACAGAATATCAAAAGTGACCCAGTTTCTACTGCCACTTTTACACTGAGATTTGTCTTACCTAATACCTTTCCAGTTGGTACTGCTAACCACGATAACCTGCAGTTCTGGGGTGGAGGCTGACACAAGGCAGGCTTCTGCTGCTGCACGGTGATGATATTTCTGTGGAAAGTTTTGCTTGTCTGTGAGGAATGCAAACTCTCAGTTTTGACTTCTGTGGAATTTCAAAGCTTCAGGACAGTCCATTGGCTCCAGTTCCTGGCTCCAGGCAAGGCCCCAGTGAAATGGCTGCTGATTTTTTCTTCTTTGCAATAGTATTTGACAATAAATGCTTAGAGAAAGTGATGCATCTTTATGGACCATCTCCCTAGACAAGAAATACACATGTTCATGCAACACAAAATTTGCCCATAATTTCCTGAAATTCTAGCATCCCTGAAGTCCATCCATGAGTCCAGAATCCCAGTTAGGAAGTCTTGCTTTTGAAGCCAGAGCAGATTTAATAACCTCTAAAGTCATTTAATTTCCCCTTTGAGAGAGATTTCTCCCTTTGTCCCTCCTAAGCAGAATAGACCAAATCAATTCTAGAGCTTGTTCATGGGTTTTACTCTTAGTTATGACCAACAATGAGAGAAATGCAACACACCCTCCCCACTTTCTGTTCCAAAGTTCTTCATCTGAAATTTAAATCCCAACTACCTCTGCTTTCCTGCCTTATCTCACACAAACAGCCCACATGCAGTCGAGTTGGACTGCTTATTTGCAGTTTCCAAAGCATCCCAAGGTGCCTTCTTCTGCCCTCTGTCTTTGCTCAGATAATTTCCTACCTCTAGACACCTCTCATCCATCACCGTCTGTCAAAGTACCACTCCTTCATCAAGACTCTGGGGAAAAAAGAGATTGCTCTATAAAGTTTACCCTGAACCCTTCCTTTGTGCTTTCAGTCTGAGCCTGAACATCTGTTATAGAACATATACCTTCCATAACGGATTATTTAGTCCTCCATGCAGCAGAATATTTGAATTATTGAGTTCTGGAATAAGAATGATTGGGTGTCAATCCTGGCTCTGCCTCTTTCTCACTATGTGACCTTATATATGTTTCTTAACCTTTCTGTGCTTCAGTTCTCTCATTGATAAAATGGACACAATAAGCTTAAATGAGCTAATCTATGCAAAATTCTTAGTGTAGTGTCTGGCTCATTGAAAGCATTTTATAAGGAGTAGTTATTTTTACTTTAGTTAATGGATATTTCTGTCCCCACCCCCTAACATTAAGCTATCAAGTAGTAGAGGGTAGAGTCTGGGTCTTAGTCATCACTTTACGCCACATAGAAGCTAGCAAAAATACTTGGCACATAGTAAATAACCAGTATATGATATTTGAATGAAAAATGAATCATCCACCAAAATGTCACCTAAGAACTTCAGACAGCATTGTTGTCATCTATATTTTATGAATACATGAAAGGCCATGGAACTGTAAGATGGATGTTCTATTGAGACTACAAAGTATTCTAGGTCTTGAAAAAACATCCTGATCTTAATTCTCTGTCCTAATTCCAGGACTTTTTAAAAATATATATATTTTTATTGATTTCAGATAGGGAGAGAGAGACAGAAACATCAATGACCTCCTGCATGCCCCACATTGGGGATTGATCCCGCAACCTGGGCATGTGCCCTGACCGGGAATCGAACTGTGACCTCCCGGTTCACAGGTCGAAGCTCAACCACTGAGCCATGCCAGTCGGGCATTCCAGGACTTTTATTCCACCATAAAGAATATGACAAGAATTCCCATCTTCTCCAATTATAATTCAATTCTTATTCAACTATACAGACATTTATTTAGCAACTATTGGGTGCCAGAAACTGTGGTAAGGGCTAGGGTTCAAAGATATCCTGCTTGGGCTCCTGCAAACCAGCTGTCTTCCTGGCACTGGAATTCAAGCTTAGGACCCAGATTATATATACATTTTTAAACTCCTTGAGTTTGAAGCCCAATGCCAGATGGCAACTGGTCTGTAGGATTTTCCTCTCTTGTGACAAGGGGTGTATACCTATGTCAAATGACACAACAGTATGTCATACTTCATTACAAAGTAATTATAATCTAACATAATAAAAGACAAACATGCAAACTGACCATACCTTCGCTATGCCTTAAGCCACGCCCACCAGCCAATCAGAGTGACTGTATGCAAATTAACCCAACCAAGATGGCGGCCGGCAGCCATGGAGCTAAAGCAAGCAGGAGGCTTGCTTGCTCCAGTGATGGAGGAAGCCAAGTTTCCCCCTCTGTCCCAGCCTGGCTGTGAGCTTTACTCAAAGCAACAAAGTTGCAATTATAGAAGGCAAATAAACCCCAGATACCTGCTTTCAGCCGGCCATGGCCACGGAGCTGGAGCGAGCAGGAGCCGGCTCTCAGCTCCACTGAAGGCAACAAAGTTTCAATTATAGAAGGTAAATAAATCCCAGAATAAAAAAGAAAAAGAAAAAAAGGAGAGGCTGGGAGCTTCCGTCGCCGACGGACTTGGCCAGCCTGAAAACAGCCCTCAGCCCCTCACCCAAGCTGGCCAGGCACCCCAGTGGGGACCCCCACCCTGAAGGGGGTGTGACCAGCTGCAAACACCCATCAGCCCCTCACCCAGGCTAGCCA